GGAATCTGTCCATAGGACAACTATTAGTCGTGCACTGCACAAAGTTGGCCTTTATGGAAGAGTGGCAAGAAGAAAGTCATTGTTAACAGAAAACCATAAGAAGTCCTGATTGCAGTTTGCCACAAGCCATGTGGGGGACACAGCAAACATGTGGAAGAAGGTGCTCTGGTCAGATGAGACCAAAATGGAACTTTTTGGCCAAAATGCAAAACACTATGTGTGGCAGAAAACTAGCACTGAACATCACTCTGAACACACCATCCCCACTGTCAAGTATGGTGGTGGCAGCATCATGCTCTGCAAATGCAGGGCAATCTTGGAAGAAAACCTTTTGGAGTCTGCAAAAGACTTGAGACTGGGGCAGAGGTTCACCTTCTAGCAGGACAACAACCCTAAACATAAAGCCAGGGCAACAATGGAATGGCTTAAAACAAAACACATCCATGTGTTAGAACCGCCCAGTCAAAATCCAGATCTAAATCCAATCGAGAATCTGTAGCAAGACCTGAAAACTGCTGTTCACAAACGCTGTCCATCTAATCTGACTGAGCTGGAGCTGTTTTGCAAAGAAGAATGGGCAAAGATTTCAGTCTCTAGATGTGCAAAGCTGGTAGAGACAGACACTAAAAGACTGGCAGCTGGAATTGCAGCAAAAGGTGGTTCTACAAAGTATTGACTCAGGGGGCTGAAAAATTACACACACCCCACTTTTCAGTTATTTATTTGTAATAAATGTTTGGAATCATGTATGATTTTTGTTCCACTTCTCACGTGTACACCACTTTGTGTTGATCTTTCACGTGGAATTCCAATAAAATTGATTCATGTTTGTGGCTGTAATGTGACAAAATGTGGAAAAGATCAAGGGGGCCGAATATTTTTGCAAGCCACTGTATAGTATGAAAATGAGGAACTGATGTGGAAGTAGATTTCAAAATGGCTTGGGACAAAAATCTAGTTGTTGTTTTAGCAACCAGTGGCTTTTTGTTACTCTCATCCTTGTGTGTCTTTAATTGTGGGCATGCAATACATACATATGGGTGTCCTAACTGTAATTATGTGTAATTCTACATGTGCACTGAATGTAAAACAAGTACAAACAACAAATCAAAAGAACAGCGTCCCCACATGGGTCTCAGCTCTGATACTTACTTTTGTTAGCACGATGGGGAATGGGCACAGCCACATTTTTACCGCGGTCGTAGTCCTGCGGTTTGGGTGGTGAGGCAGTGAAGCGGCAGATGCCTGGTTCAGAGGGTGTACTGAGGGAGGTCATGCTGTCTGCTGGGTCATTGGTACCTGTCGTCATTTGATCAGACGAGCTATCAGAGATAAAACATTCTGTGATTGTAAACTTTGCGTGTTGTAGATGCTCCTCCAGCTTGGCGTGCTCATACGCCCTAGCCAGCTCCTCGTAGGTGGAGGACGCGCTCTCTGTGGACACCATGCTGTTCCTTCCCTTATCTGAAAGAAAAGAAGTGTAGTTTTTTTCAACCATTTACTTAGCTACTCAGTTACAAGAGAGTAAGTTTTCTTAATTTTAACCCACCTGTGTCCTGTGAGAGGCTGGCACTGTAGCTGTCACTCTCGGTGGCTGTGATGCCATGAGAGCCCATCGTCCGCCAGTCAGACGTCAGAGTTCGTGCAGAGGCTGTTGACTGACTTTGACTTGGGCGGCTAAGCGTCCACTGGCTGGAGTATCTGTTTCTAGAGCTGTGGGCTGATTTTATGCTCTTTCGTGACACTGGGTCTGAGAAGAGAGAGGTCACAGGGATCAGAGAACATCTAAGGATCAAAGATGCTTGGTATCCATGTATTAGCTGTCAATAAGTCTATATTTTCTCAAATGTATTGGAGATGTACTTCAATAAAAGATCAAATCTGTTGCTCATATTTAAAGCCTCAAACTATTTCACTGAAAGCTGTGACAAGCACAACAAACATGAACCTAAAACAAACTCACTTGTGCCAGGCCGAATGTCTGACATGTCAATCAAAGGGCCTGAATTCTGGATAAGGGCTTGGTGATGCAGAGAAACGCCTGTACAGAAGTTCTGTGGATTCACTGACTGGCTGAACTCTGTGTCTGTCACCGGCACTGCTGCCTTGTCCTCTCCTGTTGCAAGCAAGGAAATAAACAAGTTACTAAGATCTTTTAGAGGCTTCCAAAAACCCCTCTATGAATGGCAGCTGTGTTGCTGTCAATGTGTGGTCACATGCCTATCTGTTTGATGCCTTCCTTGTCTTCAATGAGGAGCTGGACACGTGGGATGTCAATATGGAGCCTTGGTCCTTGAGGAGGACCCTTCACTGGAGTGTCTATGCTTCGGTTGTTCTTGCTACACAGAGACAAAAAAACAAAAACATATATATTAAGCCTGAAATTGCTTGTAAGTGATTTATTTATGCAAAATACAGCTATTCTATACAGTACACATAACAAATAAAGCTGTCTCTTACCTGATAAGCATCTCTGCAAGGCTCTTAGCATCTGCGAGAAGACGGTATAATTATATAATTAAGACATATTTTTTCAGCTTGTCACTTGTGTTAGTATATTAAATCGTTTAATTCCCACCTCTAAGTCGTTTGAGCCTCTTCTCCTTGCGTTTCTTTCGTATAATGAAGAGCAAAGCAACTCCAAGGGTAACCAGAATGACAGGAGAGCCGATAGAGAACAGTTTCTTCACATCGTCCCCCTCTCCACGAGCTGATTTAATGGGAGGGATTGTACCTAATGAGAGTAGAAGGAGAAGAAAAATTTGATAAAATTTACAAGAGTCAGTAACAGAAACATGAACGAGAGGAAAAAGATACACCAAGACCTAAAAAACTAGGAAAGACTTACTCCCATCGTAGTCAGTTGTGGCAAACTGGGAGGTCTGGTTGCCACACCCAGCACTGTTGCAGGCCTTCATTTTGAGCTCGTACCAGGTGGCCTCTCGCAGCTCGCTGAGGAAAAGCTGATTTGTGGAATTGGCCTTGAGGCTCTGCCAGGCCCAAGTACCTTTGGGCCTAAAGTCCAGCATCAGGTCAGTGATAGGGCAGCCCCCGCTGGTCCAACCCTGAAGGTTGAGGCCTGCATGAGTGGAGTTGATGTGCGTTAGCAGTGGCTGGTCCTTGTTGAACACCGGTTCTGGAAAAGGAAAAGACACTAGGTTAGAAAGATAATCATAAATTAGCAATTTAAGATGTATTTATCTGTGATGCATTGATGGCTTCATGTTTGAGAAGAAAGTTGTAACTGCTGCTACAAGAACAGACAGTAAAGAAAGAGAAGATTTATTTCGACTTAATTCCAGCTTCAACACTTTTCTCTAGACCCCTCACCTCTTCCATGCGTCTTTGCCTCAATGATCTCACTGATGCGTCCTGAGCCCACACTGTTCTTGGCAGCCAACTTGACCTTGTACCAAGTTCCACAGCGGAGATTGTCCAACCTGAAGGAACGCTCGCTGGAGCTGATGAACACATCTCTCCATTCCTCTGTGTTGTCCACAGAATACTGCAGCACAAATCCTGCAGGCACACCAGTACACATTTATGTCAAACACAGCTACTAATGGTGGTGTATCCTTGCTGCAGCTCCATCTGTTGGACACCAGGGGGCAACAATCAGCTACAATTAGCTACAGCCAGCTGCGGTTTGACTTCCTTTTACCTAGAAACATAAGCTTGTTGCACAACTGGATAAGTACATATGACATCAAAAGTGTGAAGCACCCTTAAAAAGCAGGTCAACAATATTTAAATACCCCTGATGGAGCTTCCTCCATTATCCCCAGGAATCCAAGCCAGGGTGATGGAGGAGGTGGAAGTAGTGGAGACAGTCAGACGAGGCTGGTCAGGAGGAACTGGGTGTACACACACGCAGACAATAACTTAGCACCAGGACAGAAGTGTCTGTTTCACTCAAATAAGTTTATAAATTTTCTGTTTCTTCTTACCTTGTACCACAAGGTTCACTATGATGGTGTCAAAGCCTAGGGTATTAGTGGCCGTACAGGTGTAGTACCCAGAATCCTCTGCTTTGACTAAGCGTAGCACCAGTGTACCATTGGATAAGATCTGCCGTTGGCTGTCAGCTGTCACAGGAATGGCAGAGTCCTCACTGATAAAGAGCAGACAGGTTATTCAGGATTAAGAGCAGTTTTAAAAAAAATCAATTTTCCTCACAAGAAATAGCATCAGCATGTGTGCATGATATCTCTGATATCTAAGGGTATACAGTGACCGCTCTGACCTGTCTTTGGTCCATTTAATTGTGGGAGTAGGCTCTCCCACTGAGCTGCAGGGCAGACGTACTTCCTTCATCCAGGGAGTGGTCACAGTGCCCCCAAAGGACAGGATTTTAGCTGGGACTGCACACAAAGATGCAACCAGTAAAACTCAACATGCATCTTTAGCACATGATGTTAAACTCAAATAGTAAGCATTACACCAAAATGACTCTATTCATACTTCAACTTGTCTTTCTGTGTCTGCTTTTGGATGATTAAGTGGGGCTGAATCGTTTTTCCTGAGGGATTAAAAAGCTGTACCATAGTGTTTTAATGTAGCCCCCTGTCAAAACTCTTAGTCTCGAGTCTATCATTTCTCCATAAATCCTCCCCTCTATTGATTTTGCCTGCTATCTCTCTCCCCAAGGGTCATTTTACTGGATAGGCCCTGTTCATCACCACATAATTAACAACAACGTTTCTTGCAACACAGCCGCTGCTCAATCAATACCACGGCTGTCAATCAATAGCAGAGATTGTACACAGAGCGAGAGGGAGGGAGACTGATGAAAGTGATCTGTGTAAAGGAGATCATGCTGCCAGTTCATAGCCATGTTTAAGCGCGCTCTCCCTGATAACCTTTGCACAAATCTCTTTACCCTTCTTCTCTACAACTGGCATGCCTGGAGGACCCACCTTTCCCAGCAGGCTCCACAGTGACCTTTGCGCTAATGTTGCCTCTTCCAGCAGTTGTCACAGCTGCAGCCCAGATGAGGTATTGTTTACCGCGGGTAAGGTGCGTGATACGGTAGAAGAGCATCTCTGGGTTGGCCTCATACTCACTGGGAGCCTGGGACAGAGGGCACGCAATGTCATGTTAGCAAATAAAACAGTAATATAACAGGAGTGGTGGCAGCTTGTGGACTTGATTAAAGTGCTACATTTTATAAAGCTACAAAGGAAATTAAGATGAACATAACATTAATTTAGGCTCTATTCTGTTTAAGTTTCAGCATAACATACGTGACACCAGGAAACTGAAACTAATGCTCCTGCAGTTGACAGATTAAACAGTTGTTTTTTTTTACATCTGTCCTTTTCCTATTGTGACACATCAAAATGCGCTCAGTGAAAAAGGAGGTGTGCAATTTTCCTTGAACACTGTCGGTATCTTGAAACAACAAAAAAGCATACTTTTTGGAGAAATAAAGGGAAAGCCAAATACATCTGTCAATGTCATCTGTTTGTTTAAAATTTTAACTTATTAGCCTCACTGGCAGTGTTTGCCTCGTGATAAAAGGCAGAAATGATACATATATTGTTTCTCGAATCACTTAAATCCAAAGCACAAACATAGAGTCCACTGAGATGTTTTGTCTCTGATACACTGACAGCAACTTGCATTTTAGACTCTTTCTTTATTTGTCTTTCCCAAAATTTAAGGATGATACTGTGCATTATTTTTGCCGGGTTTTCTCAGCTATGGCTGACCTCCTTATGGATTCCATTTCCACCCAGATCAACTTGTGAATTTATTGTCTGAACAACGTAGATCTTATGCTGTATACAACTTGACATCATTTGAATGTTATGAGGGAGTTAAAGCTTTTTGCAGAGCAAACTGAGTGTTAGGTTGTAAAGGAGAAACAGATGTGGTATGTGGTATTCTCTCTCTCTCTGTTTTTTGTTTTTTGTTCAGGCAAAACCCATAAAACCATGTTTTTTTTTAAACAAAAACTATAGAAAATATGCACAGCGAGCAGTATGATTGCTCAGAATTGAACACAGGTTTTAGGTCAACACAAAAAAGGCAAAACAGAAAATGTAAACCTTTGTGCGGAGCTGTCTATTTGTCCCACTACTCAAAATAAATTTGATGCAAATGACCTACAGCTACTTATAATGCTGTACTCAACACTGGATTTAAGGTTTGCTTGGGTGTATTTTTCCTCCAAGCAAACCTTTGAGAATGAACACACACTCACCTGCATCCACACAAACACATACATGGCAATGCACAAAAAGACTGTAGTCTCTTAAGATGATCCGCTGTTCTCTCTCTTTAATCTGTTCATCTCTGTGTTCTTTCACCATTTGCTTTTTCTTTCCCTCTCTGTCTAGCTCAGTGAAGAGGACTGGATGGAGGGACACAGGGAGGGGAGGATGTGCATAAGTGTGTGTGTGTTTGTGTGCAGGGGGTTCGAACATTCCTTCAGCATCGTGGCGGTGTTGTGGTGATCCAGGGAGTGATACAGGGAGATAATGAAAAGACGGACAAAAGCACTCTCATCTCGATGTGACTGATACCCTCCTCTCTCCTCCATTCCACCCTGCCTGTCTCTCCCTCTTCCCTCATCCCTCTCTTTTTCTCTCATTTCCCCTCGGTCTTTCCCTACCTCTAATGGTGTGCTTCTTTTTCTCTCTCAACCTTCTTTCCACCCCCCTCCCTCCTTCCCTCTCTCCTCCCTGCCTGTGCTCATTTACATGGCACTCATGCACAGAGAGGGAGGAGTATTTGTGAATAATAAGAAAGTGAGATTCTAGCCTGATATCAGACTTCACCGTGTGCTGGTGTTTGTGTGCACATGATCTAACCACAATTGAAATGCTTGCACGTATGTGTATAAATAGAAAATGTCGAAATGTGATGTCTCTGTGAGTGTGTGCTTCTGATGCGGCAGTGTGCATGTGTGAGCTTGTTCTCTGGCTCATTTGCATATCTACGTCTCATCACGTTGCCAAGACAACCTCATCTGTTCATCTGGGAGGGCAGGAAATAAAGCGATGGTGCAAACACAGTGAAAGAGAGACATGCGCAACACACACACACACACACACACACACACACACACACACACACACACACACACACAAATGCATGCATACAGGTTCATTTAATAACAGCGCTTACAAATGAATTATTTCCATTGGTAATTTAATAAGTTACTTGGTTTACACGGACCTCAGAGATAAATTGGCCCTATATGAATCACACCCACAGAGGAGGCACTTACTGGCTGTCCAGATCCGGGACTGGAGCAGTAGATGGTGTACTTGCGGATAATGCCATTTGGTTTGAGAGGAGGCAACCAGGACACAACCACACTAGTTGAGGAGGAGGGAACTGCCTTGATGCCAGCCGGTGGACCAGGAACTAGGAGAAAAGACATAGCAACATCAGCATGGCGGGCATCCATATGTGTGTGTGTTTGTGTTTGTGCAGGCACATGCTGGGTGTTGAATGGCTATTAAAGTGAGCAGGCTTTTTTTTCCGGATTGAAAGTCTTAGCCTGTACTAAGCTGCTCTGGAAGGACTTTGAAAAACATCCTTTTGAGGGGATGGCTGTGACATATGTTCATTCAGACACTGGTCAGCAGTTCTGACTCTGTGACACCCAGCATTCTCAAAACTCTCAAACAGATTAGACATTAGTGTCTGATCCTCTGCTAGCCACTTCAGCTTGGCACTGGACACTGTTTAATACTCTGATTACGAGATAATGGCACAAAAGGGGCTTAAAAAACATGCACACTTTACAAAAACACATCAGGACACTGGATACTGTGAAAGGTGAACAATAATGCTTTTGTTTCATTGGTCTTACAGTACTGGGTCCACACTATCAACCCTATTCAAACCAAACCATAAATATAACTTGTGCCTGACAGTGGGCCTCATCTGGCCTCTACAGAAGGAGGCTACCACAGTGTAAGACCCAGCCCTCTAAATCCATCCCCCATTCCTCTTGTTTTCTTTGTGAGGCCCCCTGATGCTCTCTACCCTCAGATCTCTTTCCCCTACAGAGGACATGAGTGGGCAAGAAAACAACAAAAACTCAGAAAGCAGAGATGCAAGTTTGAAACGAAGTAAGCAGGGACAAAAAAAGTGACAGGGATCATGTAACAATGGCAGCAGGGAGGCGCACAGGAGGCTATCATTATCATAACTGGACCCCCATGTCAAAGCACCAGTAGGAGATGGGACAGTCAGGTCCCATCTGGTGCCCAAAATCTGCCCAGGACTCCAGACAGACAGATACACAGACAGACAGTCTGCCAAGACAGTCTGCTGCAGAACTAGCACAACCCAAGTGATGATGAGGAAGAGAACACTACTAAGTGAACAGTCTCATTTATAAAAATACACGATGGAACACTGAGTCAATCAGAAGAGGACAGCAGTCTAGACACAAATAAACAAACACCTCAGCTGTGGTGTTTCTCTTATAATTTTTTCACTCATTATTTTTTGTCAGCCAAGAACGGGCTGTGCAATCGCCATTGTATCTTTCCATCTTCAGCCCCCCAGGCCCCTCCTCCTCCTTTATAAAGAGACATGGATCTGGCTGTAATCCTGCCTCCAATGGTGTAAGCACAAAATTAATTCTCTCTAATCCAAAAGGAGTTAATCCCTATGCCTATGGCAAGAGGGCTGGTGGTAAGGATGCAGGCCCAGGCTGATGGCTGACTCCTGGATGCTATATGCTCTAAGACATCACTTCTCCCTCCTCCTCCCGAAACACCTCCCTTAGCCCTGAGCTGTGAACTCAAAGCCTCTTAATTCTCATTAGCACAGCTAATGGAGATTCCTAGCATAGCTTGTTATGAGCTTTTGTTATGGGTTTGAGATACAACCAGCTCCCTTTTTTAAAATCTACCTCTATCCCATTTCCCATCTCCTTACATTGCACACTTTTCTTCATGTAAAAAACAAATGAATTGTATACTCACGATCCTCTCGGGTTTGGATATAGAGGACATTGCTGCGGACCCCATCGCCAGCTTGTGTGTAGGCCAGCACCTGAACACTGTAGTTAGTGAACTTCTCGAGCCCTCGCAGTTCCACCTGTTCACGTGTGGTGGTGATGTTTTGCATCTCTCCCCATTCTGAGGGAGAGGAGAAAAACTCTTTTTAGAAGCTATAGGTGATGATAGGAGTAACAACACACATCAACTCTGTTTCCTAAAAAAGATATTTATTTGCAGTTGCATTTATTTGGTAATGTAATACGTGGCCATTACTTTTTTTTTTCATGAATATAATTACCTTCCTATTTCAAAATTGTGTCTAAAGGAGGAGTAAATATTTTTTTAGGAAACAGAGTTGCACAGATATTGGACCTACAACACACAGACACTCATTGCTATACTGTGTGACTTTCTGATCACAAGTTTTATTAAAAATCTAAGAAACTATGACAGACTTAACAGAAATCTTTGGGGGTGAAAAATAAAACCAGTGCAGAAGTGCCAAAACCTCAAATACCTTAAGGCGACTTTCAAATTAAAATGACTAACTTAAGAGCTGAAAAAAAAAACATGTTTGCAATATGCTACATAAAAATGATGTTGTAGCAAGTCATAAGAACTCTACAGAGGCATCTTTTTTATATAACTCAGTCAATTAAATGTGATTAGGACTTATGCTTTGTATTATTAGGTGCATGATGTTGATCGTGTCTGGGGTGTTGGTGCTTCTGGAGCAGTTATCTGGCAAATAATATAGCACGCTGTGCAACTAACTGTTAGTTTTCCAAGAGTTTTATTTGTATGTAGTAAATAGGTATTTGTGCCTGTGTGATGCACCCCCGCTGTCTATGGATGGGTGCATCACCCTCTCATCTAAATGTGGTCACTTCTGTCAAATCAAAGGCTAGCCCTTAAGCTAAAGTTGAGCCATATCTCCATCTTGGACATACAGTCTATTTGACAAACAGACAAATTCAAAAACACACAGGACCAGGAAGTGCTTTATGAGAAAGGTGTGGATACACATTAACACATTCTGACTCACAGCACTGACAGAAAGGTAGGTGAGTGGGAGGGCGGGTTGGTGAATCTTAGAATGAGATAGGTGATAATTACTCTGCATTGGCCACTGGGCCTGGCCCCCACAGCACCCACCTCCGTCAGGGAAGAGGGACCAAAACACAACCCGGTAGCCTTTCAGCACACCGTGCAGCGTCAGCCGTGGAGGCTCTGCCCATGTGATCACTGCCTCATCTGATGTCACAGAGATTGCTCTCACGTTCTGCGGAGGCTCGCTGGGCACTGGGGAACATAGAGAGTGAGTGTTAGTGCTGCACTGTTAAACTATATTTGAGTACTCTTAGTGTTTTAATGGCTTCTACTGAAATCTGGTCCGACGTAGCATGGCAGCCGAAGCACTGATAAGTAATAATAACTCAATGTCACAAACCACAGGAAATCTCCGCTGAAATAAATCAGTCAAACAAGCTCAAATTAGTCCTGAATAGCTCCTTGTTCATTCCTAGCTTTTAGAGAGGAGAGTAGAAGTGGAGGGGGGTTGATGGAGAGGAGGAAGAGCACTGAGAGAGCAACATGAATAGTAAAAGAGCTACACCAAAGGGGTCAAAATGCAGATGAGCAGGGTGTGAGCTGAAATGTGGAGGATACAATCTAAAGGAAGACAATGTTCTTGTTTAAGCTAATTGAAGCTGTAGAGGCAGCTTCTGACTACCTGCGTGGCCAATTTTCATCATCCAAGTGCCCGTCATTACTCTCCTCTCAGACAGGAAGGGTCCAAAAAAGTATAAGAAATAAAAACACGGATAATAGACAGAGGACCAGTGAGGAGGATGACAAGGGAACCCATGGGAAGAAAGGGAAGATAAAGAAGGCAGACCAGGGAAAAGGGAGGTAGAGTGGGCAGACATTTAAAGAGTAATGGGGTTCCTTGTTCCTCTCTCGCTCTCTACCAGCCTAATGAAGGTGCTAATTAAAGTGGAAAGAATAATGGGGGATGTGCTGCAAATTTATTTCTAACATTTTGTTTGAGCATGCATTTCTACATGCATGTTATGTTCATTCATGAGTGTTTCATCCTGTTATTGCATTTGACTATTATTTTCATGTGTTCCTTTTGGATCTTTAAATTTTTTTTCTTACAGTCCCTCCTCTTTTCCTTCCATACTCTCCTAAATTGTATCTCACAGTCTTCTCCTCGTTTTCTTCATCTTGCTGTCCACTTACCATCTTCCAGAGTGGTAGCATTGATCTCAGTACTGGATGGGCCAGTCCCAGCTCTGTTGAAGGCTTGGACCACCACCCCATACTGGGCAAACTTCTTTAGGTTGTCTAAGGTGTACACTTCACTGTCCCCCGTAGCTTTCATCTCCACAATACTATACTGGCCATTGCTACCTGGACCGTTCTCTCTGTATCCAATCTGGTAGCCGCGGATCACGCCGTTTTGCAGCTCCTTTTTTGGAGCCTGAAAGTTTTGGAGAAAAAAATTTTTACTATGAAATTTGACAGCAATATGTAAAAAAAAAGAAAAAAAAGAAATTAAACGAGATCAATTCAAAATTTTAGTTCTTTTTGCATTTCTGTAACCAACAATTTCACAGGTGTCTCTTAACATTTTGGATTTGTTTGTGACATCACTGAAACCTTGTTGTTTTAAATCATGGAGCATATCTTTATATCCCATCATTGTTTGCTTTCTAGTTATTTCCACTGATACTAGGCTTAATACTTAAATGAAGTCGTAAGCAACAGTGATTTTACCCTCCATGTGACTCGTATGCTCTGAGATGTCATCGGTTGCAGGATTACATCCATCGGAGGCCCGTCAGGTGCTGTTGATGGAAGATATCAGATAGTGATGGCTCCACTCCATACAGAGACAGCAAAAACAAATACTAGATAGGCAAAAAAACGTGATATTTAGAGAAAAACAATCACTTACGTGCTTCTTCGGTACTGATTGTGAGCTCTTTGCTGGGAAGACTGCGGCCAATCTTGTTGTAGGAGTACATGCGGATACTATAAACGCATGCCGGGTGCAGCTCTACAATGTTGGCCTGATTGTTGGTAGGTGAGATGTTCCTGGTTGTGTACATGTGATCCCATGTGTCTGTTGAATATGAGCAGAGGTTTATTTTTTCAGTTTTTAATTATTGAAATAACTTTTACATTAGGGATTAGGCTTGTTGTTTTTAATAACCCACCTGACTTGTTTTTGTACTCAATGTCATAGCTGGTGATGATGCTGTTGCCATCAAACCTTTGGATCCAGCGCAAGTTCATGCTTCTGTCCTTCACCTCCCGTACTTCGAGCTCGGGAGGATCGGGTGGCTCTGCGTGAGGGTGGAAAAAAAAAGAATTTTCCTTTGTTTTTACCACCATCAGTATCTCGTTAAATAACCTTTCCTCATTGGGTTGTTTACATACTTTTTTTTCCCCCTTAATTCTTTATTTAAATAAAAGAAGTAGGGATTTGCAGTTGTTTGTAGAAATACCTTGTACAGTGAGTTGGATGAGCCCTCTGCCCTCTCCATAGGAGTTGATGGCATGGCAGGAGAAGAAGACAGAATCTCCTCGCTCGGCTGGGTTAAGCTGCGAGCATCAGCACAAGCAGGGAAAGATGACGTGTGAAATTTAGGAATATAATATCCTAAAAATATTCCCATAATAACTTCCTTTAATAGGACTTTTTTTTAAAGCTTATTAAACCCTGCAATAGCCTATAGTAGAAGTAGATTTTTTTTTTAGCATAGTTCGGTGTAATGGCATTAAGCTACACTAAAGGCCTGAAGAGTATAAGTATATATTATCTGACCTTTAGGGTGGAGATGACTTCATCCCCCTTTTTGTTGATGCTGATGGAGTAACGGGGATTTCTCTCTGCGTCAATGACTGTGTCCCCTCTCTCCCAGCGGATAATAATGGGCTGCTCGCCCCGTGCTGTGCAGTTCAGCTCCTTGATCTGGCCCTTCCTTGCCATGGTAGTGTTTGGGTGGCTGGTGATCATGGCAGGGACTGAGCAAATAGACAAGTGTCAGCATGATGAATCGTTTTGTATGGAATAATGACATGAGGGAAAACGGGCGTGTAGTATTGGAAACTGAGCAAGGATATATTACACATGTATAGACATCTCTTTTTTTCCATTTTATTCCCCATTTTCATTTCATGCTTCAAGCCCCACTGGCCTCTAACACCACCTCCTCCCTCTTTTTATTATTTTCGGTCTCTACTTTCGCTTCTCTTCCTCCTCTGTTACTTAGACGTAGATTATTGATTGAAGAGGTTCCTGTGGTTTTGCTTTCATCACTAATTCATCAACCCTTTTCCCCACCAAACATTCTGTAGCGCACAGGCTGACAGCCAGAGAACATCAGTCAATAGGAAAGGCACCCCCAGTGAAGGATGTGCAGGACACAGACAAAGTTAGGCTATGTTAAGCACAGGCCGCACTAGCCTGGGGCAAAAGTGCATCTTAGAAGAGCTGATCCCTGTCCAAAAAGCTGAGACTTATCTCAGCGCAATCCAGGAGATGTGGGTTTGAAAAGAAGTGGGTTCATGCCAAAAAGCAGAGGATTGACACTTACTCTTGACAGTAAGGATCATGCTTTTACTGATGTCTGAGCCCACTCCGTTGGAGGCCTGACAGAGGTAGTACCCCCGGTCGTCTTCAAGAACATGTCGGATCAGCAGAGAACCGTTTGACATGATCTGGATACGGCCAGTTAGTGGGACAGGATGGTACTGCTGAGGGTTTCCTACGCCTGCAGGACACAACACAAAGCATGTATGGAAGCATGATACTTTTTCTTGTTCGTGTGTAGCTTTTACTGCAATGCCATGAGGATAATGTGCAGATTTTACCTTTGGCATGTTTCCACATGACTTTTGGAGGGGGGTAACCTTCCACGGAGCAGTTAAGTACTCCAGCTTTTCCATAGATACAGTCTTGATTGTTGGGCTGCACCACAAAACGCGGCGGCACTGAGAAACAGAAATCCTGATTTTATATAAATGGAAAAACTTGGTAGAAGTTACAAAAAGTAAGTGATCACAAAACAGATCTACGGTTACTTTACACATTACACGTCACCCCTCACCAGTAACAATCAACTGTCTTTCCCAGCTGACAGTTGCAGCAGCATTGCTGGCGATGCAAGTGTAGTTTCCATTGTGCTTCAGTGTCACATTGGAAATTTGCAGGGAGCTCATGAACTCTTTGGTCTCTATTGCAACACCAGAGGCAGAGCCTGGCACGATGAGCTGGCCGTCTTTGTGCCAGGTGATGCGTATGGGCATGTCCCCAGATGACACCACACAGGCGATGTACATGAGCTTCCCCACTGAGGTAGAGGGGATATCGAAGGGCTGGATGAGCGGTGGCACTAGAGGAGAGAGAAAGGAAATCAGTGGAATAAAGGCAGTGATAGATGTTGAAGAGCGGCAATGTGGCCATCTGGAGCAATGCTAAGAGTCTGAGAGAGAGAGGGAGAAGGTCATTGGCCAGTGGGCCCCTCTTCAGCACCCCCCCCCACCACCCCACATCTCCTGCAGCCCATAATAGCTGCTCTGGTTACAGTCCAATTGGCAGGGGGAAGTCATTCCGTTGCCATGGTAATGGAGGTTGAGGTGGGGGTACTACAGCTGAGACATCTGGGGGATTTAATCTAGGCTTCATTATTATTCATCTAATTAAATCAGAGACACACTCACACACAGGCACATGTACACACCCTCAAACACCTCTGCAGCTGCCCTGCTTACTGCCATCGTTATCCCGCTCACAGACTAAATGAAATACGCACGACAAACATAAATCTACCCCCAAAACACCATTCATCTGCATTCAACAGCATTACTAAAGTTGCACTTGACAGCTTTGTACACTGGTGTCCCCCAAGTAGCAGTGACTAGCTGCTCTTCATCAAGAAATTTTACTTGCATCGCTTTTTTTCCATCTTTTTTTAAGCTAAAGGAAGCAGTTTGAAAAACAAAGTAGTATTAGTATTGGTGATTGATTTCTTAAGATTTTTTTTCACTACTGTTTTAAGTGAATTTGAATTTTGGGTATGCATAGAGCATTACCTCTAGTTGAAATAGATTTGGGAAAAGCGTGAAGATGCAATATCTCCCTGTCAACTGATGTGTCACTTTATCTCTACTGCAGCCTAATTCTATAAATTGGGTTCATAAAATAGGTATAAATTTACCAAAAACACTGCCCAGTGCATCCGTACTCCTCTTCAGCTTTACCTTTGACAGTGACGTGGACAGTCTGGTTGATTGACACCTGGGGCTGGATCAAAACGCTACACAAGTAGGTCCCCTCGTCTGCGCCCTTCTGCACGTCTGTGAGCCTCAGTGTGCCGTTCTCAAACACCACTTGACGATGATTATCAGGCAGCTGCATGCCGTCCTTCAGCCACTTAATGGAGTAATATGGGTACCCAATCACACGACACGTTATATAGGTATTTCTGCCCGCCACTGCGGTGATGTCTCGCATGGGTCTAATTCGAGGTGGACCTGGAGACACGGGGAAGAGAGGGAGGGGATGGAGGGAGGAGACAGAGAGAAACACAGAGGTTGGAGAAAGGGGGAGATGAGGTGAGGGAGGTCATGGCAGAATATAGAGGGCAGCCACGGAGACAGGAAGGGAAGAGATAAAGGTTGAGGGATAGAGTGATTGGGGCCAGTTGACAGGTGGAAAGGGAGGTTAGTTGTGCCCCCTTTACTAAAATCTGATAGAGGATATTTGTTGATTTTAGCCTAATCACATATTCACTCAGTGTAT